AGGAAGAGACTTCTGATTAAAAAAAAAAAAATCTGTCGGTTTTAAAATTCCAGCCCCCCGAGTAACGCGACATAAAGAACTTCGTTCTAAAAAAAGGGCGTACTGTAGGACCTGTGCAGTGATGCAATAAAAGCGTGAAGTGAATTAGTGCGTTTCCGATAGTAAAAACTTTTTGTCCGTTGAATAAAATAAAGTTTTCCAATCAAAACTGGATGTAGAAAATACGATGACGATAATTAAATCTTGCTACAAGGTGGGGGTAAGTGTTTGAATTTAACTGAAACATTCAAATTGTTGATAATAATTTTTAATCGTTGATTATTCTTTTTTAGATTACTTTCTTGTTATAGCTAATTTTTTACCACAAATGAAATAAGAATGCACTCAGTAGTTCAAATAGAACCAGAGTTATGAACTTTGGAAAATCCCTCATCAAGTCTAAAATCACCGAAAATGCAAAGTTGCAATCCTCTCTAGAGTCCTAAATACTATAAAATTAGAAAAATTAAAAATACTGGATCTTTTGAAGTAGAAAACCCATAAAAAAAGTTTCAGCTAAATCGGAAAGGTAGGTCAAGAAATGTTTAATTGGTGAAAGAACATCCTATATAAAAGTGTATGAATAAAGTCTTTAAATATCTTTTTTACTAAATACTTTGAAATTAGTTAACTTACAATTTATTCTTTAGCTGGTCAGTTCTATTACTTAAAAATTTTTTTTTTCCACTTTCATACACAAGTGTGCACATGTATTAATAAACGAAGCTGTTTTGTTGTAACGGAGTTTTTCATTTGTATTGTATTAAATTTTTTACGAAACCTATACATTGAGAATAACTGCACATACATATAATTACTTATACATCTTAGATTTGACATCAGGTGATTACAGCGAAATAGGCAGCTCAATAAGCAAATCAAAGCTTTGAGCGAGAATTAGTATAGAGCGTCAGTTCCAGCAAGGAGTCGATAGAGAGTGGTAGGCTCGCACCCTAAAGCTCATTTAAAGCTCATTGTCCTTCTTATGTTACTCTACCAAAACCAATCAAATAGACTTATGTTGAATGAGGCTGGCTTTGTCTATTATCGTGAGAGATAAGCTTTTTATAGTGTTTCAAAATTATATTTGTATTAAAGTTATATTTACCCTTTATTTTTAATTATGTTGAGAAAAAGTAGTTGGGGTAGCGTAAAAAGTCGAGCAGAGCTGCATAAGTATACACATTAATCAAAGCCTTTTGCACGACAATAATTTTTCATTTTCACAAATTTTTTTTTTAATTAAAAACTTTGTCATCAAAAACGATGTTAAATTGAGTTTTTATTTAAAAAAAAGAAATGAATTGATTTACAAACCTTACATAATATTCATATCAAAAAAACACATGTCACAATAATTGTTTATTGATTTACAATATATTATAAACGTTGAGATTAAATGAAAAGAAGCATCTTCAGTTTTAGTTACATCATAACATAAATATTCATACATGTGAAACTTACATGAGCAAAATGGTGCAGTACTGTTACAAAAATTTTACATACACGGAAAGTGACTTCTTTTGCTATCTTAAAGAAATAAAAGTCATGCTTGTTATTGGTAAAACGTTCAATAAATTATTCATAGAACAGATATTGAAGTAGCCACAATAAGTAAGATTGTGCAAAGAACTGCTTAAATAAACAGTTGTATTTAATACTTTAAAGTGAAATTTAAATAGTTATTTGACTTGTTCTTAGAAAGGTAATAAATAGAATTATTCAAATTTAAATATATTGCCTCTATAAAAAACATTAACTAGACACTGCTAAAGTTACCTATGTAAACTTATGTTATCTGGGTACAGTGGGGATTCTTGAGGCCGAGAGGCCGAAAATGATACAATGAGCTTTTTTAGCATAAAAAGCAGCTGTAAGGACCAACAAATTTAACGCTTATTTTTCAATATCGTATGGAATTGAGCAATAAAGTGTGAATCCCTTCAATCTATTTTTTTCAAGTATTTCGATATAGTATTAGGACTTTATGTAAAGCTATTTTCAGGGCTCCAACTTAAAGCCTCAGAAAAAAATTTTGATTTTTTTTTCCGGGATCCCAATCGACAATCCTTCAAATTTCTTTGAGAACGATGCTATCATGCTAACTACTAAGCCATCAAAACTTTCAAAAAGATTTAAATTTTCCCGTTTAGGCAATAATGTATGAATTTCAAAAAAATATCATACTGACGATTAAAGCTTTTAAAAATCAGACGCTTACAAATATTATTAACATTAATAAATAAGAATCCATATGACGAAACGAAATATCTTGTAACTGCTTAGTTACTTAAACAATAGAACATATTCAAAAATTTTACATTTCAAAAGATTTATTTTGATTGTGGTGAGATATCATATTCAATGTAATATAAAGAGTGTCTACCTTTCTTATTACCTCACTTCGATGAATACATATAAAGTGATTTAAAAAAACCAGGTGTGGGTCTCAGGATCCACGAAAGATATAAAACATTAAGAAATATGTTATTTAACTCGGTAGTATTTGATTGTCTATGATGAAAATATTAGTTTTTGTCAGATAAGTGCCATCGTCTCTAGGGCTATTTTGCGGCCCAAGAGACCTGCAAAACAGGGCTCGAGGTACGTAAGGCAGCCACGGAGTCTTAATGGGGCTTATGTGGCGAATCCTATTTTTTCTACCGAGCACACACCAGCCTCCCAAAAACGCGTGAGGTAGAAAAAGTGTTTATTTTTTCGATTCTAAATAATTTTCAATTTATATTTTTACATTAAAAAGACAGTTCATTCGTAAATATATATTTTGATCAGCGAATATTATAAATTAGGAAAAAGTAAACTATGTTTGTATTTTTTTTTGTTCATTAACAAATAAGCAACGAGAACGAGAAAGAACAATAATAGACGACGAAGAGTATCGATATTACCTACCTACACAAAGATACACACATCAGTTTAACAAACGTTCGTGTGTATTACTTTCCCTGTCTCTCTGTCTCTTTTCGAATACCTGTTTACTGTGCGTAGTTGTGCACGTGCACGAATTTCGTTAGTTCTTTACTAAAGACGGGTTAAGATGAAAATTGAATAAACATAATTGGAAGACCCTGGGAAAACTTTGCAGTGTGGTCAAATATTTATATGTTAAAATAATCCTATTCACAAAGAACAAATTTGTAAAAAATAATAAAAAAACAATACTAATTCTAATATTAATTCATCATTTTCTACAAGCGCAAAATATTAAGAAAAGCAATGAAATGGGCTAACCTGCATGAGTACGATGGAAAGAGAGCGAGCGCGAGAGCAGACGATCAATGGCACTCTCTATCTCACTTACTTTTACAGGTACTGCAAAAATGCATTTTTCTTTTTTTTTCTTAACGTTTTGCGCTTGCTGAAACAAAATCGAAAGTGCTTACTTATTTTTCACCCTACACGCTGGTATTTTTATTTTTTTTCTATATTAAACCGTTAAAAGAAATGAGCAAAACGGTCTTTAAAATACAATTTTACACAATTTTGACAGAAATAGACCACTCAAAAATAATCATGACTATTTTTTTTTAAATCGGTTGGCTTCATTATATATGAAACAAAAAGTGCCCAATTATAGATCAATTTTCTAATTCATCAGTTTCTCGATTGGTGTCGATAAATAAACAGAACACAGATAGGATTGGCATGCTGCATAGCACAATCAATAAGGTCCCCGACTACCAATCCTAAAGATGTTGTTTGATTCTTAGAGTCAGTATAATTTATAAATCTTATTCACACGCATACACACACACACAGACACACACGTATATGTAAATGCTATATATACAACACATATCTGATTTTTAATTATATACTTTTCTACATAGCAATAATAATACGGGTAGTACATTTTACCAACAAGAAAGGGGTGGTAGTAAGTGCGTGAAGAAAGACAGAGAGCCGAGCCGAGCTAAGCCGAGCCAAGTCGAGCCGAGCCGAGTTTAACCGGAGATCGTGTTATCGCACGGGTCGCTTTATCGCGTCGGTCGAGCCCCAAGCGCGCCAATAAATATTCAACAGTAACAGTTATTTTCATGTAAAACAACAATAAGACCCGTAATGCTGATGCTCCAAGGAATTAATAAAGCTAAAATTTACTGTTATTCATTGCGAAATGATATGATAGGGGAAAATTACATTTCGCAATCGTAAAATAATACTAGAATAGTAGTTATGTAAAATGTAACTTTCCTCAGAAAGTAATGCATGGAATGATTTAAAATTTAAATAGGACTTTTGAAATAACAAGACTAACATCAGACATCTCAAAGTAATTGTGAATAGTAAGTTTGAAAACTAAAGTTATTGACACAAGTAATACATAACCTATAAATTTGTACATGTTAAGTAATTTTATTTTTTGAATTTAATGTTCACAAAAACCATGAGAAGATCCAAGTTTATATTTCATGAAATCTGTAGTTAGTACTATTTCATGATTATAGAATTTATCTTTTCCCTTTGAATTTGTGATGGATTGCAGAAAATGAAGGCTTCACAGATTCCTGAAAGTATTAGCTTGGAAGATCTTCTCAATGCTTAATGTAAAAACAATTTTTAATTGATAAATAATACAAATTTACCAAAGTGAGGTAATCGATGAAGTAGAAACTCTGATCATTTACTGGATGCCTTTAAAGTTATCAGTAGGTTTAACATTTTTTAAATTAATGTCAACCTGTTCGAAGTAATTATACAACATTTATTACTTCAAGATATTTTCAACTTAATAATTTTGCGATGCTTCCAAAAAATTAAGGAAAAACGTTCAAAAAACTAAATCCAAAATAATGTTTGTTTTTTATTTTAAAAAAGTTCTGACAAAAGTTGTTCATGATTTTTTGTTGTTAAAAACATTTTGAATTGAAAGCTTATGAAAACAAACAAAAATAGTTTAAACTTATTTTTTTTTAATTGAAATGGTTATGAATACTCACAACTCCAATTCCTTCTAAGGCAAAAATAGCGATTCCAAAAAAGAGTGGCAATTGAGATACACTGGAGAACTTTTTCACCTCCTTTAGTGAAGGCAGGTCAGTAAAAATGTAGTAGAATGTTATGCTTAGTCCAGCAGCAATTAAAAAATTGGCTATCATAGAAAACGGTGCTAGATACTTCAGATTTCTAACCAAAGAGAAAGCAATCAGAAGTGGTAACAGAATAGCCATATAAATTCTGACATCCCAATGATATTCCATATAATTATCAGCTACCTGCTTAATGTTTGTTGAAACGAAGACAACGTAAACACAGCAACATCCAATAAGGTCTAACACTAAAAATGTGTTTATTGTGGCTCTGTAAATGAAATTTAATAAATTAATAGTTTAATTAGTTGGGTTAATGTTAAGTTTATAAGCCAGTTGGTATTATTTAGTAACCTGCTATTAAATTTGAAAAAAGCTATATTGTCAATGTACATGGTGAAAAAATTAGAGTTTCAAAATTTATGAACTAGCTTATTACTGATAGTTTTAAGACACGGAAGTACATAATTGTAAGAATTTTTTAAATTTCTTTTTGAAATAAATAATCTTCCAAATAAACGGTTGAACATAGTCAAATATATAAGGTTGGATTTCTAGTAGTAGGTTGTCTCCTCGTTTTACGCATCCAAGTCTCTCCTCAAAAAAAATCATTTTTAACAGAATGCGTAAAAATTAGTTGATTTACTTCTTTAGTTTACCTACGCTTTTCGGTTATTTTCCCCGTCGGAATTTAGAATGTATCTATATAT